GAGCGTAATCCCGGTGTTAGTACACGACGGATATCCACGCCTTTAGTGATTCCCAATACCAGGGTATGGAGAACATTAAACAAGAATCTGTTGTATCCATACCATCTACAGCGTGTTCAACATCTGGAGCCAGAAGATTTCCCTAGGCGGGTAGAATTTTGTCAGTGGTTGAATAATAATAGGAATTTGTATCGCTACATCTTATTTACGGATGAGTCACAATTTACCAGAGACGGTATCAACAACACCCATAACATGCATCAATGGTCGGACGTCAACCCTCATGCCACCGTAGAAAGTAATTTTCAACGTAGATTTAGCGTTAATGTGTGGTGTGGAATGTTATACGATCAACTTATAGGGCCATTTATTATTGAAGGTCGCCTTAATGGACCAAAGTATCTACAATTTTTAGAGGAAGAACCCCCGCGATTGCTTGAAGATGTACCTCTGGCAAGACGATTAAGAATGTACTTGCAACATGATGGAACTCCACCTCATATTTCCCGAATTGTCACTGCTCACCTAAATGAGCATACCCTGGTCGCTGGATCGGTCGAGGTGGGCCACATATTTGGCCAGCTAGGTCTCCAGACCTCAATCCGTTAGATTACAACATTTGGGGTTGGATGAAGGATTTGGTTTATCAAGAGAAAGTGGAAACACGCGAAGCTCTAATCCAAAGAATTGTTAATGCTGCAACGCAAATAAAAGAAAAGCACGCGAATATTGGAAATGCAACGCGAGCAATTCACAGGCGTGCTGACAAATGTATTGAAGTAGGAGCTGGAATTTTCGAAAACCTTTTAAATTAAGAATGTATCTATCACTATTACCGATGTTCTAAAAATAACAATGAAAATTAATTTCCATTATTTTCAAATTCGTGTAGCTTAATAAGTAAAGCAAATCGGACACATGTTTATATGAACTTTTTTCCTAGAAATAACCCAATGAACATCCTCTATTAGTGCCGGGAGAACTTCATGAAACACCCGGTACAATTATATTTATTATTATTTTAAACAAAAACACAATGGATTAAATCGCTTCGGGTGATACAGGGTGTTGAAATGTTTTTAAGGATATAAACCTGTTGACTAACAAATATGTTAACCAGTGGGAAACGAAGAGGTTAGTACTACTAGGAGACTCAGAATTTCCAATGAGTGAGTATTCTGCACATTCGATTCGGGCTTATTATTGACAATGGATTTTCAATGAAAAACGAAGTCTTTGTTTTATTCGAAGAACTAGCCTGACATTTATTTTTAATAAAGTGAGCCACAAGTAAATCGAAAATAACTGAAAGTATTCGCTGCACAATAAAAGATTATGGATTTTTTTTAAACTAATTTTAAATACTAGGATTCATTTTGTTTTTTATTTGTTTTTTAATTTTTTATTTTTAAATTATGGCGAAAGTTGAAAACATCTTAGAACCGTAGAAAGTTTTAGGAACTATACACCTTGAAGGTCTGATGAATTTTTTATCTGTTTAGTTTAGTCTCAAAGCAGATTTGAAGTGCATGAAATGCAAAGTAAAATTATGATTGCAAAACAAATGCGGTCACTTTCAACTTACGTACAAAGTGAATAACATCATTAAAATATTTATGAGTAATTATGTAAATAATTTAACTTAAGGTCCATTTTCGTCAAAAATCTAGTAATTTTAATTGTCAATTAATTATGTATATGATATTTATGAGACCTAGGTATAGATTTAATGGACAGTTAGATTTATCAGGACGTGAAAAAGCGACCTAAGTCAAAACAATTTTCTGTGTCCCATTTACAAGTGCCAAGTAAAATTTCAGATACATCTGTATAATATAATGGCTTGTGTAGTGGTCTCACGAAACAAGCTCCGGAACGACGATGTGGATCCCCAATGAATTTCTCAAATTAAGTTTCTGACCAAAGTGTCGAACTCTCGTTATAATCTTGATATATGTTTTAGTTAGCAAAGTAAATAAACGTATTTATATTTAATTAGTATTGTAAGATAAACTGTAATTTTCCCACAATTTATATTTAAATACTTAAAAAATACACTGTTTACACAATACATTAAATAGTTTTAGCATTATGGCTCGATAATTTCTAAGCTGATTGGATTTCGGTAGACATATCGGCCTCTTCTTCAGCTGAAACTTTAAACTGAAGATTATGTTTTTTGGTTGGTATTTAAATCTGTTGTGTTTGTCAACTGGTCACGTGTTGTAGTCATTGGCTCGAGTCGTTCTGGTCTTTGATTTTAGCGAATGAGTCGTTTTCATATTCCAAGTAGTTCCTACCCCTCGTATAGACTTTTGTACATACTGGTCAAACATGTTTCTATATCACATGAGAAGCTCAGTTCAGCATGAAAAACAATGGTCCTCAATTTCAGATATCACAAATGATTTTATAACAAAATATTAAATTTTTTACAACAAAAACCTCATTTTATATTTCTATACATACAAGGGTAATTTATTATCACCACGCCAATCATTCAACAATATAAAGTTATTTTGATTAAATCTACGCTGATTTTCCTTTATACGGATTATCTGTGTGGCAACTAGAAATGTGTTTTCAGGTTTTAGAAAACTTTGTTTTTATTTGGACACATGTTGCATGTTAAAATGCAACCAGCGTGCGCAATTAGGTCAATTTATAAAGGTACAAAATGTAAAATTAATGTTTTAACATTAAAAAAAATTGGATATTTCTGCTAAAACATTTGTATGTATAAAATAAATATTCAAATCTATCTATATATACAGGGTATCCCCTAACGAATGTTACATATTCTAAGAGTATAATCTAGAAACCAAATGATGTCAAATTAAACAAATTTACTTAAACGAAAAATGGTGCAAAAAAAAGTTACAGGGTGTTAAAGTTTCTTTTTTTATTTCTTGTTTTCTCCTTAACTCAGAAACCAGTTAACCGATTTGAGTAAATTTAGCTGTTGTTTATTTTCTCTTCATGAAGTATGCAGTGATTATGTTCCTATTCGGTTAAATCATACACGACATCCATTTTACTACAACTCTTTGTAACTTTTTTGTACGTTTAAATTTTTACACGCAACTATCAGAAATAGATATAGAATTTTATTCTGCACAGAAAATGTAAATCTATCAAAAGTCGAAATTATGCTCGGTTTATAGAAAATATTTATTAACACATACCCCAAAATTTTTTTGAAATAACTACGTATCCATAACATAACAATTTCGATATCACTGTCAAGTTTGTATTTTGAAAAAGTTTATTTCTGATAATGCCTCGTCACAAGGAATTTACGAACTATGAAATGAGAGACATTATAGTAGTATATGTATAGGAACATTTTGAGAACGATTTCTCCAGTTACATAACAGGGATCACACTTTTCTCGGGAGAATTGCCTTTATAGATGAAACTGTTTTTACCCGTGGAGGTGTTTTTAATTGGAAAAACTCTCACGTATGGAGCGAAGAAAATTCACACGCAATAAAAGAGCTTCACTTGTTGATGAACGGCCAAAATTATTTGGAATTCTTTCGACAAGAACTTGCTGGGGCTCTGGAAGAAGTACCCATTAATACGAAACGACAAATGTGGTTCATTCACGATGGTGCCCCTGCTCATTACAGTCATTTGGTGAGAGATCATTTAAATCAAGCATTTTCAAACCGTTAGGTTGGCCGAATGAGTGACTTTCCTTGGTCTTCTCACTGTCCGATTTTAATCCGTTAAACTTTTACTTTTGGGATCATTTGAAATGAATTGTTTACAACTCTGTAACACCTAATACGGGAGAATAACTTTGAGATAGAATAAAAGATGCCGTACCCCACCTTTCAGTATAATTATGTTATTAATTATATTATTTATTATGTTTATTATGGATACGTAGTCATTTTCAAAAAATATGCGATATCTGTTAATAAATATTTTCTACATATACATATACATTTTTTTTATCTGGAATAAAATTCTTTACCTATTTCTGACAGTTGCGTGCAAAAATTTAAATACACAAAAATGTAGCAGAAGAATATTTACAAAGGGTTGTAGTAAAATGAATGCCCTGTATGATTTAACCTAATAGGAACATAATCGCTGCATACTTCATGAAGAGAAACTAAAGCAACAGCAAATTTTGCTCAAATCGGTTAAATGGGTTCTAAGTTAAGGAGAAAACAAGAAATAAAAAAAGAAACTTTAACTTCCTGTACCTTTTTTATGCGACATTTTTCGTTGAAGCAAGTTTAGATCGACATCATTTGGGTTTTAGATTATACCTTTGAAGTATGTAACATTCGTTAGGTGACACCCTGTGTCATATTTCAGTTATCCCCATTTTATAATTATCCATATCTCGCGATACATGGTTGTAATTCTACAATATAATTTGGGATCATCAGCAAAACAAGTGAATATCTAACATTCATGTCACTGGTAACGCTATTGATAAATATTATAAAACAAAGCTCGGCGCGGAACCCTGTGGAGCACTTGAAGGCTGATAGAATAAATCAGACTTAAATCCACGAGTTGTACACGTTGACAATGATTCGTAAGGTAAGACTTAAAAAGGTGTAACAAATCATCACCATAGGCATTGAGAGCATTTGTTAACAACCCATGATCAACTCTATCAAATGTCTAACGTGACTTTCCTCATCAATAACCTAAGATATATAATGAGTTACAAACAAGATTCGATATAGCGGAGTGGCTTTATATAAAACCATTTTGTTCCAGCAAAATTAAACATATTATTTGGAACATAACTACGAGTTACAAGTACATTGTAAAAGTTATTTAAAGTCGCTGTAAGGCGACAGTTAATAAAAGATGTATCGGTTTTTTAAATATGGATGTTATTCTAGACAATTTCCCGGTTTCAGTAAAGATTCCATTTGTTAGTATTAGGCTAAACGTTTATAGAGAATAGTTATTAAATCAGAGCCCATGTACATATTGTTCTTGATATTTTTTATAGCTTCTATCACGTCTGTGTCGGAAAATTGTATTACATTAAGAATGCCATTAAAGGTTAAAATGGTACTACATCTGAAAGTAGTGGGAGATGTAGAATTTCCAGGAAAAATCTCAATATAAAATGTCAATAACATAATATTTTGGCCATTATTTACTCAAGAAATGGATATGATGCCCTTTTTATAAAATTAATACATAACCAAAATCTATTAGGATTAATTTCAGTAAACTTTGTTTAAAGTCCCTTTTGATAAGAAAGTTATAATGAAGGGAGAAGTTTGTCCCAACAACGCTCGAACAGTCTATATCAATTTTTATTCTACCTACTTTTAATTTAGTTATCAGAAATATATATCCCGGGAACCGCCACAACCTTTCGCTTCCTGTATTTATCACCTTTGACAGTACTGTTAAATGAGCTGTAAAATAATCTCCACCCCACCCAATCCTCCAAACGGGGGCGTCTTTGCTGCTATCGATTTTTTGTTGTGGTATAGCAACGATGAATATTCATACAGAAGTTCTTGGCATAAAAATCACCATTCCATATCCGGCAGCAACGGTTAACTGTAATCATATGTCGAGAACAAAGCCTAACAACGATAAACACGTTCGTTCTGTGT